TGGCCGCCCCCCCTTTTAAGGGGCGCCTGCTGCTCCTGACGCACCATCCCCCTCTCCTGGGCTTCCCACTCGGGACCTGAAGCCCCGGGCTGGAGCAGAGCCAGGCCTGCTGGTGCCCGCCCCTCTCATGCCCTTCTAGCCAAGGTCTGCACAAGCCCCACAGACTAGGAAGGAGACCTGGGGCCTAAACAGGATTCCAGGGAGGAGTAGGATGCCTTCTCCCGGCCCTGCAGGCTGACCGCCAGCAGGCCGGGCGGCTCCGGCTCACCTGGGGGATGCTGCTAACGTGCTGCCTCAAAGTGCGGAACGTGGCTGGCACGGCTCGGGCGCCGGGCTCCATCTGCTCCTTCACCCAGTGGTTGGCAACGAAAGCGCAGATCACGCCGGCCCTGCGGGGGACGAGGCCAGACCAGGTCACCTGTGCGCAGTGCCCCAAGGAGACCGAATCGACCGTCATGGCCCGGGCCGGGGCCAAGCCCTCAGCTCCAGCGCTGGGCTGGCAGGGGCGGGGCAGAGACGAAGGGCCGCAGGGGCAGGTCCGTGGCGGGCCAGGGCTCAGTGGTGAGACTAGGGGGATGGGTCACTGGGGGCGAGGGGAAATGGGGGGGCTTGTCCTGGATGGGTTGAAAATTCAGCTGTGACAGCCAGTGCGCCCTGGATCCTGCATGCCCCTTTCCCTCCTGCCCCGGAAGTGCCCAAAGGGAGATGAGCCCCAGCGGCCCAGCCCTGCCCCCATGTGCTGCCCTACGGTATATTGTCCCCTCTCGGTGCCCCCTGGACTAGCTCCCCTGCCACAGCCCCAGTGAGCACGCGGTTTGCCGTCTCCGCTCCCCGCCTCCCGCCCCGCGCCCTCACTATGGCGGTGGTGAGGAAGAGGCGGACCGTGAGGAGGTTGCGCCAGCAGGCGAGGGAGCGGCGATAGGCCTTGATGTGCCCCCCGCAGCGCCGCCGGCGCCGGCAGCAGCAGAAGCACAGGCCGGTCACCGGCACCGCCACGAAGAAGAGCGCAGCAATCACGGCGCAGACCACATAGCCCACCTGGTAGTGCACCACCTAGGGGCGAGTGAGCAGGGGCCACCTCAGAGGGGCCTTCCCTGGCCCCACTCCCCTGCCCCACTCTCCCCTTGCCCTGGCCCCCACTCATCTCCCACACCCTCCGCTTGGTCCACCCCACTCATCCCCTTGCCATACCCATCCCCTGCCCTCCTCTTGCCCCACCCTTTGCTCCTCCCCTGCCCTCCCCTTGTCCTGCCCATCCCCCGCCCTCCCTTTGACC